GTTAGGGATGGGGGTTTGGGGTGAGCTGGGGGGGTCCCAGCCCCGCTGGTGGCACAGGGTGCCATCCTGGCCCTGTCACGCCCCCTCCGGATGGGGGGGTCCGATGCTGCGTGTCCTCCTCCCTCCTGTCTCCGCTTGGGAGTTGTCTCTGTCACGAGTTATTTCGTTCTCTGTCCCCTGTCCCCCCCCCTGCCGTCGCCACTTTTCGTTGTGCTCGTGTGGGGCTGGGGGATGGGACGGGGACGGACGGGACACGATGCCACCACCAACAGGGTGGCACCAGGCTGCCCAAAGCTGGTGGTGGCATCCCTGGGGACAGCGTCACCCTCCTGCCACCCCAGGGCTGGATGTGGTCCCCAAGGCGGCGCTGGTGCTGCTCCCGGGGGGGGCGGACATGGGGACACGGGGATGGGGATGAGCCCTGTCCTCCTCTCACTGGCCACCGTCCGTGCCCACAGGCTCTTCAAGGAGCAGAACGAGGACCTGGCGGACCACGTCCCCAAGGAGCGGGAGGCGTTGCTGGAGCGGGAGTTCCAGCGGGTCACCATCTCCGGGGAGGAGAAATGTGGGGTGAGCCTCCTCGCCCCCCCTCCCCCGCCGTGGGGCTGGGGCTTCGGGGTGTCAACCCCCACCTTGGGGCTACTTTATCGTGGTGTCCCCCTGCCCAGGTGCCCTTCACGGACCTTCTGGATGCGGCCAAGAGTGTGGTGAAGGCGTTGTTCCTGCGGGAGAAGTACATGGGGTTGTCCCTGCAGAGCTTCTGCAAAACCACGGCCCGGTACCTGCAGGACCTCTCCGAGAAACCCCTGGAGACCCGTGGCTATGAGGAGGTGCCCGAGACCCCCGTGGCCGCCGGGATCTGGGCTTTGGGCTGAAGATGGTGGACGGCGTGGTGCACGTCTACACCAAGCAGGACGTCACCGACAAGTGAGCCGTGGGGATGGGGGACGGGGGTGGCGGTCGCTCACTGGTGTGATGAGTTTGCTGGGGGGCTGCGGTGGGTGGCGTGGGGGCCAAGGGGAGCCTGCTGGGCCCTGTCCCCGCGTGTGACACAGCTCTGTCCCCACCAGGAGCACAGAGCTGGACCTGCTGTGCCCCGACCTGCAGGAGTTCATTGCCGACATGAATTTCCTCATGGCTTTGATCATCAATGGGCCCATGTAAGGAGAAGGGTCCCACCATGGGGGTGTCCTGGGGGGGGGTGTCCCACCATGGGGTTGTCTTGGTGGGGGGACAGAACCATGGGGACAGCACCAGAGGACATGGTGGTGGCTATGACACATGGCACTGGTGCAGATCCCATGTCCCTGTGTCCGTCCTTGCTCACGGTCACCGTCCAAGAGCCGAGAGCTGCATCCCCTCATCCTGGTGGGCACCAGCCTTTCAGGGCTGGATGTTCTCCTTCCTCTCCCCCAAACTGACACCCCCTCCCCGCCTTGAGCAGCAAATCCTTCTGCTACCGCCGGCTGCAGTACCTGAGCTCCAAGTTCCAGATGCACGTGCTGCTCAACGAGATGAAGGAGCTGGCGGCCCAGAAGAAGGTGCCCCACCGTGACTTCTACAACATCCGCAAGGTGCCCGCTGGCTCCTGGTGGGGGGTCCTGGCTTGACCGGGGAGCACTTGGAGGCTCTCAGAGTTGAGCGTCACCTCTGGCCGTTACAGGTGGACACCCACATCCATGCCTCGTCCTGCATGAACCAGAAGCACCTCCTGCGCTTCATCAAGCGGGCCATGAAGAAACACCTGGATGAAATCGTCCACGTGGAGAAGGGCAAGGAGCAGACGCTCAAGGAGGTCTTCGAGACGATGAACCTCACTGCCTACGACCTGAGCGTGGACACGCTGGATGTCCACGCGGTACGGGGGACAACCCCAAATCCTGGAGATGAGAAGGGCGGCCCAGCCCGGGGTGGAGGCATCTTCTCCAGGGGTTGTCCCAGGGTGGGGTGGGGGATGCTGGAGGCTCTGGATGTGGGGATGCTGTGGTGGCTCTTGGGGTGATGAGGGGTCTCATCTCACATCTGTGTCACCCTGCCAGGACCGCAACACCTTCCACCGCTTCGACAAGTTCAATGCCAAGTACAACCCCATCGGCGAGTCCATCCTGCGGGAGATCTTCATCAAGACAGACAACCGCGTCTCGGGGAAGTACTTTGCCCACATCATCAAGGTGAGCGGCCCTGACGGTTGACCCTCCACATCTCCCTCCCTCTGATGCCCACGGTGGCAATGCCACCCACATCCCCCTTCTTGGTGGTCGAGGGGTGACGCTTGCCTCTCCCTGGCAGGAGGTGATGTCCGACCTGGAGGAGAGCAAGTACCAAAATGCTGAGCTGCGTCTCTCCATCTACGGCCGTTCCCGGGACGAGTGGGACAAGCTGGCCCGCTGGGCCGTCAACCACCGCGTCCACTCCAACAACGTCCGCTGGCTCGTGCAGGTGCCCCGGCTCTTGTGAGTATTGGGGGGGGGAAGATACCCTCAACCGGGGCCGTGTCCTGGGTGGGGAGACCCAGGAGACCCCACTGAGGGCTGGGGTGGGATGGGACACCCGTCTCTGAGCGGGGTCCGTCCCTCTGCAGTGATGTTTACCGGACGAAGAAGCAGTTGGCCAACTTCCAGGAGATGCTGGAGAACATCTTCCTGCCCCTCTACGAGGCCACCGTCCACCCTGCCCAACACCCAGAGCTGCACCTCTTCCTGGAGCACGTGAGCACCAAGTCCTGCTCCTGGGTGGGGGTGACACCGGTGACACCTGCACCCCCCAGCTTGAGGGCTGGGACAGATTTCCTGGTGGAGGGGTGACCACCCCATGCCGGGGTTGTCTCTCCCGCAGGTGGATGGCTTTGACAGCGTGGATGATGAATCCAAACCAGAGCATCACATCTTCAACCTGGACAGCCCTTTGCCGGGAAACTGGGTGGAGGAGGATAACCCCCCCTACTCCTACTACCTGTACTACATGTACGCCAACATGACAGTGCTCAACCATCTCCGACGGTAAGGGCACCTCGGGGTCTCCGGCACCTCCGCCCATCCTGGGAGGGTCTTGGGCAGGTCAGATGATGATGGTCGGCCCCATGTTGCAGGAAGCGAGGCTTCCACACCTTCGTCCTCCGCCCACACTGTGGTGAGGCCGGCCCCATCCACCACCTCGTCTCGGGCTTCATGGTCTCGGAAAACATCTCCCATGGCTTGCTGCTCCGCAAGGTGAGCGGGGATGGGGGTGCCCATGGGAGTCAGGTGTGGGGCTGGGACCCCCCCCTCACCCTGCTGTCCCCCTCCAGGCCCCTGTCCTGCAGTACCTCTACTACCTGGCGCAGATTGGTATCGCCATGTCCCCGCTGAGCAACAACAGCCTCTTCCTCAGTTACCACCGCAACCCCCTGCCCGAGTACCTCTCGCGGGGGCTCATGGTCTCCCTCTCCACTGACGACCCCCTCCAGTTCCACTTCACCAAGGTGAGCAGTGGGGGGGGGGGGGGCCCGGGCCCAAACCCCCCC